GTGCAAAGAGAAGGAAAAAACGAGCGTGAATACATACAAAGAATTTAATCTCTTTTATATAGATGGATGCCATCACATCATTAAAAATTTTCACCACAAAAAAATGCGAACTAAAATAAAAAATTAAATAATAGATTTCTAAACAAACCCTTTTGGTATTTTAAATGCTCAGAAAAATAAATAGACTGCTTAGGGTAAGCACAATAAATAAATGAACAGATAGCTTAAATAGAAAAGGAATATTTTTTTTTATTTCTATGATTGAGTTTTTAAACAAAGAAAAACTTGTCTTATCTCATAATGTCAACTGCAGACATTTATATGTTACTTTTTGAAAAAATTTCATACAATATGAAGGATTTTGTTGCATAAATCACATTTTTAATGTTTCAACTACCGTGCGTTGATAAGATTTTCTATTTTGGTTCTTTTCGATATAAAATAACAATCATGTCTGAAGAATTATTACTTCACAAAATATCCATTTTTTGTGTAAAAAGGACCATAAAGATTATTATATAAAGCATTTTATTTTGAAAACGTATCTGAAATTTTGCTAATAAAACCTAAAATAAATATAATATTCTGAAAAATATTCGTTTACTGAAAACAAATATTTTCCTGAATATGAAAAGAATTCGTGAATTCTTTTATATTCAGGAAAAAAATACCCTCGTAAAATGGAATAGTGATGAAAGTGACTAGGAAATAGTTCTAAAAGAATCATAAGCATAAGATTTTTATAAAGTCAGGAGTTTGAGATCTTTTAACTCAAGTTAATTTAATCAGCTTATGGATTTCTTTCTTATTAAAAGAAAAATAAAATTCTATTACTTTAGAAAGAATGAAGAGCAAATTTAGTATAGCTAAGTTAGAGAGAATATTATTTAAGTACCACAATCAATTTTAATGTTTGAAATAAATCAAATTAGTAGAATCTGTGAAAAATAAGTTCATAGATATTTACGCTTATGTTCATTTTTTTATATATAATTTTACTTTCTGAGGAGTTTTATTAAATTTGTTTGAAACGTCTTAAAATGCACAGCAGTAAGTTAAAAGCTTTTAAGCTAGGCCATTTTAAAGGTTTGTATGGCGAATAAAAAAAGAGAGCTCTACGATCTTATAACTTTCTTTTCCATTTTTGACTCTTTTTTAAAATTTCTTTTAGAATGGAATATTAATTACAATAAATTTTCTTGAAAAATTATTATTATAGAAGTAAATTCCTTTTGTTTATGAATCTACGGTAGAGATGAAAAAGGATAAGAAGTCGCTAGCAAGAAATGTATAGAGGAGCATATTTTACAAAATTGTTCAATTACGTATTCTTATTATCCATTTTTTAACAACATTTATATTTATTCTTTGACGCTTTAGCAGAAAAATCGTTAATTTATTCTTTTCGTTTTCTGTTCTTTTAGAATTGTGTTTATCTAGAATCACAAAACTATAAAGCTGAGATTTTTGTTAAGCCATTGTACATTAATTGAGTAAAAATGTTAGAATAATATGGTCATTGTTTTTAATCTAAAAATTTATTTATTAAGATTTTGAAAAATTATAAAACAGCATATCAAACTTTGATTGCAAATGAGTACCAATAGTGCTTCTGTCTAATGCTATGATTTGTTTTCACTGGTTTGTTTCAATTTTTAATCTTTGTACATTCCATACCAATTATCACACTAGTCGGCATTTTCGAAATTGATTTTTTAACACAATTGATTTTCGGGAAAGAGAATGTGCTGGATTTAGGTATGAAGGATTTTCCACCACAATAACGAGCATGATCATTACAAAACTATTTAAAAACTAATAAATAATCTATTTAAATTAATAAAGAAGTGTTAAATTTTTTGATTAAACATCAGTAAAAAGTTGTTATGTTTGGCTATTTTTGGCGATTTCTGGGAGAACCCTTGGCGCGATCTACTAATGCGGAGGGTTGCTGTTTGTAAACCGACCTCAGTTGGATGTCGAAATTGGAAGAAAGAGGAGATATGTCTGCCTTATTTTTTTATTTGTTGTTTTGAAAAGTCTCCGAGATTACTGTACTAATTTCAGTGTGTTTCTTTCATGCACTGTATACGTGAAAACAGAGGTATTTTTCTTGATTTTGGCTTCATCATTTTAAAAGGGAGAAAGATCACAGAAACTTATTCGATTATCCACTTAACTGTTTCCTTTTCTGCCGTATTTTTTCCAAAAATAAGCACATTTTTATAAGCAATTTTGCTTCCAAATTGATTTTGTAAATTCAAATCTGCAGTCAAAATAGTTACAAATATTGATTTTATAGATAGTGATCATTTTTAATTGTAGGGGAAAAAAGGACCTAAAAACTGGTTTGCCTAACCTAACCTGACCTAAAAACTGGTTTTCTCTTGTTTTGCTATCCAACATTAGTTAGATTGATAGAACCACTTACTAGAAACAGTGAAAAGAAAAGAAAGTGAAAAAGTCTGGAAAATCAGTGAACTATCTCAGAAAAACGACCTAGCCGAGCGGCTTTCGGTCAAATTAGGGAAGCCCCATTTCGCGGTGCCCGAATAATGTTCGGGCAAAACTGTTAAGTGGTTATACACTGGTAAGATGTCAGGCAGACATCCAAATGCCTCCCACAACAAATCTTCAGCTAGAAGTTGCCCTGGAGCAAGATTAGCAGATAATCTCAGAAGCAATGCTATAAAATCTGATCTTGCTTATAACCCATCGTTGTCAGTTTCTTCTGTCACTCTTCTGTAACTATGCGTCCTATTGAACAGACAATGTGTGACATTCTCGTCCAGTTTGGTATGCCTTCTTTCAACTCCCACCCATGCACTGACAAGACGTCTGAAAAATCATGCAATGCCTCCCGTAACATTTCTTGATCTGGAAATTGTCCTGGAACAATAGTGGCAGAAGATCCCACAAGAACGGATGGACAATCTGATTGCTCTGTTTACCTCCACAGTACACTGAAAAGACGTCTGACAAACTGTCCAATGCCTCCTATAACATTTCCTGAGCTGGAAATTGCCCTAGCGCAAGAATGGCAGACGATCCCAAAAGAATTTATGAATAATATGATCCTGCCCATTCTCTATCTCCGTCAGTGCGTTTTGGAATTCTCTGGAGCAAGAGTGGCAGAGAATCCCACAAGGACTGATGGACTATCTGATTGCTCTGTTCACCTACACTGTGCAACGGGAATACGTGTGATAAACGTCCAATGCCTCCTATAACAATTCTTGAGCTGAAAATCGCCCGAGCGCAAAAGTGACAGATCATCTCACAAGAACTGATGGACAATATGATCCTGTCCATCATCTCTCCCTGTCTGTGTGTTTTGGCAATCTTGGATGGCATGCATCCTACTGAAAAGTCACCTTTTTTTTCCAATCTGACATGCTTCTGTTCACCCCCACCAATATGGAACTTACTACTCAATCATGAAAATTGAGTTTGAATCTCATTTGCAGAATCGAGTAACTTTCTTTGACTTTTCATTTGTTTTCCTTATGTCCTTGTTTTAGAAAAAAATGAAATGCTAATTTTTCATCTCTTCATATTCGTTTTGTGAGCAAAGTTTAAAGAACGTCAAAACATTCCCATTCGAATAACTTGAACAAGTTTTGTTCACGTAAATACAAAACGATGCTGGATAAATTAGACAAAGCTTAACAACTGACAAAAAGCCAAGGAGCATATTAATTTGGTATGCAAGACGAGAAATTTAAACGAGTAACAATATTTCTCTAATATTAGTTCCCGTCAGGCCCAAACCAAAAATCTTTATTATTCAAAAAATGCTACATTTTTTTCAAAAGATATTGTGGCAAAGGAATCAGATCATGCTCACAATTTTTATATTGGCACAAAAAAATCAATTCGAGACGAATAACTAGAATAGAATCCTTGAATCCTTACATTTAGCTACAAAGGTTCAAAAGACATGTAAGACGATCTTGCTTCTAAATATATTCACACAATAGTTCCTTATGAATGTTAAATCGATGTAGAACTGCATTTTAGACTGATGGCGGGAAAGGATGAATGTTCCTTCCACAGAGATTAATCAAGTGCTCTTTTGACGTCATTTTTTCAGTTGCAATGAGCGCCTGAAGCTATTTAGGTATTTTTTCGATATGCGAAAAAGTTTTTTTTGCGGTCATATGCAAATTTGATTTCGTGCGGTATTTGCTTGGATGATTTTAAAAAATACTGCAGCAAAATGTTCGCTATACGACAGGCAGATTTCGAGACTTCAAAGTTTCTTTTTTGTGAGATAACTCGAAGATTCTTTTTTGTAAATTTGTTTACTGATGAACGTTTTGGAAAAGTTTCTTCTACACTTTTCTTTGGAAATGGTATTCATCGAAGTTATTTTGGTATGTTAAGAAATTATTAAAAGAGTTGTAAGATTAATCTCTCTGTCAATTGATTTGAAAGGTACGAATATTTTTCTTTTCTTCGGAAATAATATACGTTATTAAATGAAACCATATTTTTAACTATTTATTCTTCTATTATTTTCTACAGATTTCCAGAGAGGAATACATGAATGAAATGGTCTCTTTGTAGTAAACTCACCAGATTTACTGACGTATTAGAGAAAGGTTTTACAATATGAAAAGGGATTTGCTGATAAGATTACCTCTGTAGCATTTTAAAATTTTTGGCTTGAAGAAAATAGACAATAAATGATTCCCTGAAAAAAAATCAATCACTTTGTTACAGGAAAGTAACTATTTTAAATCTTAAATAAGTTTTTATCGTTCATCTCGCAACTCTTAAAAAACAGAAATGAAGAGCAGCTGAGCACAAGTAATACTGATAAAGAGAAATTTATCTTTTTTGAGTATTGCAACAATTCGATTTTTTTAATATGTCATTTGTTGTTCTAGAAAAAAATGAATTTAGAAGCCAATCTGCACAGTTTGAAAAGGGCGCACAGTTCAAGTGAGTTAAAAGCGAATCTAGACTCTTAAAAAGGAGTTCCTCGAAGAAAACAACATAGTCGACAGTATTCGAATCGCCGCGGGAATATCCCAATGGATTTTCAGTCCATCGCCTTAACCACTCGGCCACAACTACTCGTTGGCCTTTAATTCAGTTATAAAGAAATACTGCAGTTAGAAGAATCAGATTTTATTTTACACACTTTCGAAGAAAAAATGAGCTGCCAGTTCAGCACAGTGAACATCGTGCCTGTAATTCTACTCCAAAAGAAGATGTTCACGCCTTTTCGAGCCCACCAGGATTCGAACCTGGACTTCCGTGATACAAATATAGCACGTTATGCTTTTCGCCACGGTCTCCGTTGGCAGAAGATTTTTAGAATGCTTTGCATTTCTTTTTTGTCCATTTCTTCGACAAGTAAAAAATGTTAGCACGCGCCGGAATAGAGACTAGAACCCTGGACCGTTATGTTAAAAGCCTAACGCTCTACCGACTGAGCTAGCCGGGCTCGTTCGTTTACCTAAGGTAAACTTTCAAATTAAACAAGACAATGACTCTGCTTTAAATATTATTTTCACTCGGGTACTGTTAAAAGGCGTTGAATGCGTATTTCTTAATCTAATGACCCGTTTGGCGACATTTCATTTAAAATTACAAACCCCGCAGTGCCAAAAGGAACTTCATCGGCCAACGTGGGGCTCGAACCTACGACCCTGAGATTAAGAGTATCACGCTCTACCGTCTGAACTAGCCGGGCACGTCCATTTATCTAAGGTGAACTTTCAAATTAAACCAGACAATAACTCTGCTTTAAATATCATTTCCACTCGGGTACTGTTAACAGATATTCAATCCTTATTTCTTAATCTAATTACCCGTTTGGCGCCATTTCATTCAAAATTCCGATCCTCCCAGTGCCAAAAGGAACTTCACCGACCAACATGGGGCTCGAACTCACGAACATGACATTAAGATTCTCATGCTCTAAAGACTGATCTAGCCGGGCTCGTTCGTTTACCTAAAGTAAACTTTCAAATTAAACCAGACAATCACTCTGCTTTAAATACCATTTCCACTCGGGAACTGTTCAAGGTCGTTCATTCCGTATTTCTTAATCTATTGACCCATTTGGCGACATTTCATTCAAAATTCCAAACTTCGCAGTGCCAAAAGGAACTTCATAGACCAACGTGGGGCTCGAACCCACGACCCTGAGATTAAGAGTCTCATGCTCTACTGACTGAGCTAGCCGGGCTCGTTGGTTTACCTAAGGTACACTTTCAAATTAAACTCGACAATGACTCTGCTTTAATTATCATTTCAACTAGCGTACTGTTAACAGGCGTTCGATACGTATTTCTTAATCTAATGACACGTTTGGCGACATTTTATTCAAAATTGCAATCCTCGGAGTGACAAAAGGAAGTTCATCGCCCAACGTGCTGCTTGAATCCACGACCCTGAGATTAAGAGTCTCATGCGCTACCGACTGACCTAACCCGGCTCGTTCGCTCAGCTACGGTGAACTTTCAAAAAATCCAGGCAAAGATTCTGCATTAAATATCATTTACACTCGGGTACTGTTAACAGGCGTTCAATCCGATATGAACTGGCCGGTACTTTTTAACATGTTTAATGATTTTAATCTCCCATTATTTTATAAAATTTTTATATATTATTATTTGAAAGACCGTCATGTATATTATGTTAACGAGGTCTGTGAAACACCAAGACAATGTTACAGAGGTTGTCACCAGGGTTCAGTGATAGCACCTATAATTTGGAATATTTATATCAACGCTGTTTTAAAACTTAATGATGGAAAGCTCTACGTTCAGGCATTTGCCGACGACCAGGCACTCATTATATGGGGTCGCACGGCCAGAGTTCTTGAGGCTAACACCAACCTCGCTTTGGCCAATATTGCAAGATCTTTAGACTCCCTTAAACTCAATCTTTCTGTTCAAAAGTGCCAGGCCGTGCTGTATCTTAGTATCGCATCGCAAAAGCTCTCCAAGCGAAACTCTACTATCCTGAACCGTAAACCAACTTTTAAGATTTATAACACATCTATTAGAGTCACCGATAGCTTAACGATACTAGGAATCGTCGTAGACAATAAACTTACCTGGTCCGAATATATCAATTCATTACATGGCAAGATGCTGATTTTAACTTCCAATTTTAATCGGATTTTAAAAACTGACTGGAGTGTCAATATGAGCCTCATTAAAACGTGGTATCTCACAACCATTGAGAAGGCCCTGCTGTATGGAGCCAGTGTATGGGGCGGGGTCTTAACAAAAACTCAAATAAAACGTTTGCACTCCATTCAGAGGATGTTTCTTTTAAAATTATCGCGGGGCTACCGTACCACATCAACCAACGTTCTAAACATTCTTACTGGCCTGCCACCCCTTCACATCACAGCTGAAGCAGAATTTATTAAATTTCAGATCTGGGTGCGGCGCTCTGCTCATTATAATAATATAATCGATAATGCTCGCCTGGACTTTAATATTCCAGTCAAAAAAATCCCCTCAGCTGAAAAATACATATATCCACCCCTCCGGATTAAAAATGCAGATTTTGAGGTGTACACGGACGGATCCAGGATGGAAGATGAAACAGGGTTCACCGTGTGCATCCTCCAAAACAATAGCAATATTCAAAACTTTCTATACAAACTCAAATCTTTTAATTCAGTGTTTCAAGCCGAGCTGGCGGCCATTCAACATGCAGCGAATTGGGCCGCCAGCAATAATCTTAAAATCAATATTCACTCTGAGAGCTTGTCATCAATAATGGCTTTGAAGAGCGCCGACTCCAGATCTAAATTCGTCAATATAGTTAAAAATATCTCTATGCAGCAAATAACCTGGTCGGCCTCTCGTGGGTAAAGGCCCACGTTGGTATTGAAGGTAACGAGTTGGCCGACCAGTTCGCAAAACATGCCATATATACAGTAGAGGAGCTGGATATTCCAGCTCCTCGTTCATTTTTAAATCGCAAACTGAAAACTCACATTTTAAATTCTTGGAAAATTTACTGGAACCAATATGACTCGGCCTTGGGGGTTAGGGTCAGATCATTTATTAGTACGGTTAGCCCCAATTTTTTAATTCACAACAAAATTTTAATCTATTTTCTAAGTGGACATGGCCCTTTTCCTCAATATCTTCATCGCTTTAAAAGAATTGGGTCACCACTTTGCGTCTGCGGGCTGGTGGGCGATGCAGATCATTATACCTTTGACTGCTCGCTCACCAAGGAGTTTCATTTATTGAAGCCTGCGGACGCTCATAAAATAACCTGGTTCAAAAATCTCATCGACAATATTCAGGCTATCGGGAAAATGGCACAATCGTTCAGGATAAGTAACGAGTTGTGCGATTCACTGACCCGCGATGGGGACTAATTTATTAAGTATTTTACTATGGTTTTTAGCCTAAAATCTTTAACTGTTATCTTTTAATGTGTTATGTGTTATTTACTTTTACATTATACTTTTTGGACCGATATTCACTTTGATATTGCTTTTGGTTTGCCTTATTGGCAATGGGTCTGTTTACCCTTTTAGGGGGTGCGGCGAGGAGGAGTGGGTGAAGTACGTCGGGAGTGTATTCTCCTGGTAGGGCCACCCAAGGCGTGAAGGCCACTCCGTATTCCTCGTTGGCACTTCAGTCCACTAAGCTTAGGCTCCAATGGCTTTATTGTATATGTACTATATGGATTGTTGTAACTTTATATATTATATTTTTATACATGTTGAAAACTTTTAATATTCTATATTTTTATTATCATATTTCATCTTGTAAATACTTCACCATATTTTTAACTTACTTTTTATAATGTAGTTTTTAATATACTTTTTAATTGTTTCTGCCGCTCTCCTATGTCGGTCCTTTTAATACACCCCTCTTACGGTCGGTCCTTGCATGGCGAAGGTTTGCAGGGTTCAGTGGTCTGCGTTCCTATATATCTTTAATGGTCGCTTGTATATCTCGAGAGATCTGTTGGGCTCTTAAGGGTAACTTCTTTGCCCCCTGTCGGCGCTTGAGTGTCACAGTCTTTGATCTCTTGGTGGTGTGTCCCCCGAGAGGACTCTGGGTGTTTGGGTTTTATCTGAAATCTATTTTAGCTAATTATTTTAATGGTTTTTTTAATTGGTATCTTTAAATTTTTATCTCACTTTGCTGACTGAGGGGTAATTCCACGTTTAGTAAATTGTAGTTTTATTATCAAATCTGTACTGAGTGCATATTGATTTGACGCTCTTTTCTGCGTCTGGTGTGTGTGTGTTGTGTCGTTGTTTGTGATGTCCTTCTTCTTTTTTAGGTCTTTCATCCATGTGTTCAGATTCATTGGATTTTAATTTCATACTTTTGTATATAGAGATGAGCTTATCCATTTTTAGCTAAAACTTTTACTTATCACATATCATAGTTTTGTGTTACACGCATTGTAGTTGCTTTCCAATGAATTGTATTTGCCTTCCAATATCGCCCTTCGGCGCAGAACTATGTCTTGGCATTGTAACCTAGCCACATTTATTACCGCCCTTGGGCGAAGTCTGTACGCATGGTGTTCACACCTTTATGTCTGTAAAAACATTTTATGTAATTAATTTACTGCTCCTGTTTTTGAGCAGTGTTTGTATTCATTTTTGGAATTTTAATAAATCTGCCCGATGGGCCGGGGCCAGCTGTACCTCAGCGTGCTTTGGGGTGCCCTCTTCCCCGGCGACCCTTCTTTGCTTTAAACCATTTTTGGTAGGCGGGGTCGTCGCGGGCATTTAGACGTTCTATCCGTATTTCGTAATCCAATTACCCGTTTGGCGATATTTCATTCAACATTCCAATCCTCGCACAGCCTAAAGGAACTTCATCGCCCAACGTGGGGCTCGAACCCACAACCCTGAGATTAAGAGTCTCATGCTCTACCGACTGAGCTAGCCGGGCTCGTTCGCTTATCTAAGGTGAACTTTAAAATTAAAACCAGACAATGACTCTCCTCTAAATATCATTTCCACACGGGTACTGTTAACATACGTTCAGTCCGTATTTCTGAATCTAATTACCCGGTTCGCGGCATTTCATTCAAAATTCCAAACTTCGCAGTGCCAAAAGGAACTTCATCGCCCAACGTGGGGTTCAAACCTACGACCCTGAGATTAAGAGTCTCATGCTCTAGCGTCTGATCTAGCCGGGCTTGTTCGCTTAGCTAAGGTGAACTTTCAAATTAAACCAGACAATGACTCTGCTTTATATATCATTTCCATTCGGGTACTGTTAACAGACGTTCCATCCGTATTTCTTAATCCAATTACCCGTTTGGCGACATTTCATTCAAAATTCCA